CTGAGGTTTCTGCTCCAGGTCTACTCCCACCCCTACTCCTACCTGAGCTGGGCTGGAAGCCAGTCATGCCTGCTTTCTAGGAATTCTGTTATTCAACTTGGTTGTCTTACTTTACATTCATTTTTCTTTCCACTTGAATGTTGTGGGTTCATTAGGGTGCTGGCCCTTTGCAGGAATTCTTATAGAGCTATATCCCCACCCCACCCCCTCTTTTTTTATTTTTTCTTTGCCAATAGTGGTGTTTGAACTCAGAATCTCATGCTTGCCAGATAGGTGCTCTACCACTTGAGCCACACCCTCAGTTCTGCTTTATATTGGCTAATTTCTCTTAGACTTAAAAATAAAATTGGGAGGCCTGGAGTTGACTTAAGATCCTCCAGATCTTAGCCTCCTAAGAGCCATTGTGCCTGGCACTTTTGTGCTTTTTCATGATGGCTTACAGCTCCCGAAACCCAAATCACAGTTACAAAAATCCATGGGTAGTGAAAATTCTCCTTTCCTATCTCCACATGTTGGGTTCTTTACCCAGAGACACCCAGAGATGTTTGTGTGTGTATGTGCACGTGCACACGCACGTGTGTCTTTTCTGGACCACAGTGTTTGCACACACAGGTCAACACGTCTGTGTGTTTACCTTATACATCAGTCATAGTGGATAGCATATCTTGCAGCAGCATATGGTAGAGACCACTGTGTATCTCTTAGTTGTTTTTTAGGGTGCATCTGCAGCCTACATCCAGCTTCTGCTTTCTTGTGCCCCCCCCATTCCCCTAGTTGAGAGAGCTGTGGGAAACTATTTATTTTTGGGCCAGTTCTGGGGGTTGAACTCAGGGACTAGGCAATGCCCCTTTTGTCAAGGCTAGCACTTTACCACTGGAGCCACTGTGCCACTTGCGGCTTTTTCTGTTTATGTGGTACTGAGGAATCGAACTCAGGGCTTCATGCATGCTAGGCAAGCACTCTTAAGTGTTTGAATGGAAACTCACTTTCGACTTTTGCAACCCGTGAAAAAAATAGATGCCGTTTAAGTTGTAGCTAACCGATGTCTGTCCGCCTCTCCTGCGTACTACCTGGGGATGGAACCCAGGGCCTCCCATATATACTTGCTCTGATGTATCTTTCGGAGACTTCCTGTTTGGAGCATAGCCTGCCTTGCTCCTTTCTTTGTGCCTTCAAGTGATTGAAAGGGTGGAATTGAATAGCTGTGTTTGCCTACAAATTTGAAAGACCCTTTGGCTGGAGGCGTGGCTCCGTGGAGTGTGGGCGGGGTTTAGCAAGAGGGGCGCGGCTTAGTGATGGGTATATCAAACAGTAGGGTCCGTGGCTCAGCAACAGGGGCGTGGCTTGGTGGTAGGAGCCAGTCAAACATTAGGGGCGTGGCTCGGTAATGGGTGTGGCTCAGTGGTAGGCGTGTGTCAAGTATGGGGGCGTAGCTGGGTGTCAGGGGCGTGGTTTAGCGATAGAGGCGTGGTTCTAACCTCTAATGGGTTGGTGCTGTCTCTTAGGAGACAGAGCCTGGGGGCCTGGGCCTAGAGTAGAGCCTGGTGTTAGCAGGGTGGATGGCTCAGGGTCTCTATCTTGAACTTGGGGCTTCCTACACAAAACTTAAGAGTGAAGTGAGGGTCCCCTCCCTGCCCCCAGGGATTAAAGCCCTGGAAGTTCCTCTAGTTAACTTCTGGAGGCATCTTTAACCTCCTCTGGGCAGTTTTCTAAATTGCTCTATTGTCTTTGACTAATAGGAACCCATAAGACTTTAATGAGTTAAGAGTTAGATTCCTGGGGAAGATTAAAACAGCAAAGCAGTTCTTTATTGTCGCCTGTTATATTATAAGAGCTTAATCTTTATTGACAATAACTTTTGCCAGATAGAATTCCCATGCTATACAATTCCCCCATTTAGAGCGTGTAATTCAGTGGTTTTGAGTTTTATTCAGTGAGTTATGCAACCGGTCCCCACAGTTTTTACAAAGAATCCTGGTTCCCCTCAGCCTTAGACTCCCCCTCCCCAGTGTCCTCAGGGCTACCCTCCCCAGCCCCAGCTTCCTGTCTCTGGATTTGCCTGTTTGGGACTTTTCATCTGCTTGATTTATTCAATGAGCATCATAGTTCAAAGGTTCATTTATATGGTGGCGTGTATCAGAATTTCCTTTATATGAATGTATACCTTTCTTTTCATTTATTTATCCCTTGATGAGGATTTATTTGGGTGGCTCCCGTGTGTGTGTGTGTGTGTGTGTGTGTGTGTGTGTGGTTATGCAAATCACTGCTGCAGTCATTTGCCTGCAAGTTCTTGTGGGACTGTGTCTTCATTTCTCTTGGGACACACAGACAAGGGAAAACCAAAATAAGTATCCCAAGGAAAGGAAATCTGGGAAGGCTACCTGCTGGTGGAGGAGGAGGAGGCATCTGAGCTGACTCTTGAAAGCCATTAAATTTAGAAATACAGAGTTAAACCAAGTGTGGTGGTACATGCCTGTCATCCTAACTTCTTGGGAGACAGGAGGATCCCAAGTTGGAGGCGAGGAGGGACAACATAGTCTGTCTCAAAAAAAAAAAAACATATATTAAAAAAAAAAAAGGAAAGGAAACCAAAGCCAGAAAGGAAAAAAAATAAGGGGGGGGGGACTGGGAATATTGCTTAGTGGTAGAGTGTTTGCCTAGCATTCATGAAGCCCTGAGTTTGATTCCTCAGTACCACATACACAGAAAAAGCTGGAAGTGGTGCTGTGGCTCAAGTGATAGAGTGCTAGTCTTGACAACACCCAGACCTTGAGTTCAAGCCCCAGGACTAGCAATAAATAAATAAATAGCACCAATGGCTCATGCATGTTATCATAGTTACTCAGGAGCTTGAGATCTGAGGATCACGGTTCAAAGCCAGCCTGGGCAGGAAGGTCCATGAAACTCTTATCTCCAGTAAGAAAAACCGGAGGGGCAGCAGCAGGTTGGGGAAGGGAGGAGTGGAATCTGGAGGACCATGTGAGAGCAAGGGCCCTAGGGAACCATTGAGGGTGATGGGACCCTGCGGGCACCATCTTTAGGAGAATGAGTTTGCTGGGTGTTTGTGGGGTGAGATGGAGATCAGACTGGCATGGCAGGCAGGCTTTGGCCACACCCAGAGAAAGGTAATTACACCTTGACAGGCAGCCAGGAGCGCCAGGAAGCAGAGGCAGGTGGGAAAATGGAAAAGACAAATATTTTCTGCAGTGGGTACCTTTATCTCCAGCAGGCATTTATGGAAAGTCTTTCCATTCTGATAGAGTGGGGGAGGAGGTGGGAGGATTGGAGGGGGGAAAAGCTCCCCAGTCTTTTGTGCACTTTCTGTCATCACTGTATCACTATTCAGGCTTGAAAATCATTAGCAGGCCTAGCAGGGAGCTGGTGGTTCACGCCTGTCATCATAGCTACTCTGGAGGCTGAGGTCTGAGGATCCTAGTTGGAAGCCAGACTGGGAAGGAAAGTCCATGAGAGTCTTATTTCCAATTAAAAAAGCCAAAAAGCCAGAAGTGGGACTGTGGCTTAAGTGACAGAGCGCCACCAGCCTTGAACACAAATGCTCAGGGACTGAGCTCAAGTCCCAGGATTAGCCTATCGACAACTGTTTTCCTTTTCTTCCTTTCTTCTTCCTCCTGCTCCTTCTCCCTCCTTCTTTCGCTCCCTCCTCTCCTTCCTCTTCCTCTTCCTCCCTTCTGTTACCTTGTCATTTTTTTTTTTTTTTTGGTCCATTGTGGGGCTTGAACTCGGCCTGGGTGCTGTCCCTGAGTTCTTCAGCGCAAGGCTAGTGCTCTGTCACTTGAGCCACAGCACCACTTCTGGTTTTCTGGTGGTTTACTGGAGATAAGAGTCTCAAGGACTTTTGTGCCTGGCTGGCTTTGAACTGTGATCCTCAGATCTCAGCTTCCCGAGTAGCTAGGATTACAGGCATGAGCCTGTAAAGTTTAAGTGGTTGTATGAAGGGTTCAACAAGTCAGATTAGAAGTACAGTGCATCTTGACCATTGTCAGCCCCTCCCATCATTCTCCCCGAAATCCTATTCTTGTCATAGTTACCCCTCCTTCTTCCTCCCTCCAGCCCCTCCCCCCTCTTTCTTATTGTTGATGGTGGGGCTTGAACTCAGGGCCAGAGTGTTGTCACGGAGGTATTCTTGCTCAAGCCTAGCACTCTACCTCTTTGAGCCACAGTGCTACTGCTGATTTTCTGGTGGTTAGTTGGACATAAGAGTCTCATGAACTTTCCTGCCCAGACTAGCTTTGAACCATGATCCTCAGATTTCAGCCTACTGAGTAGCTGGGATCACAAGCCTGAGCCACCAGTGCCTGACTCCTCCTCTTCTTCCTCTTCTCCTTTTCCTTGTCCTTTTTCCTTCTCCTCTTCTTGTTCTTGCTTCTTGCTAGGGGTCTCTTCTAGGGCCCCCAATCATGTTAGGTAAGCCCTTTACCTGTGAACCCCATCTTGAGCCCCTTCATGGTTCATAAGTCAACTTTACAAATTGTTTTAATTGACACATAGTAATTGCAGGATGATAATTAAGCATGAGCCTGTGGTGTGAGAAGATAGAATCAGGATAATTAACATTTCCATCTCCGTGATGAAGACATGACACCCAGAGCCTCTCTTTTATCATAGCAAGTCTGGATAATACTCCGTGTTAATATTATTATTATTATTATTTTTGGCACCAGTCCTGGGGCTTGAACTCAGGACCTGAGCACTGTCCCTGAGCTTTTTTTTTGTTTTTTTTTTTCACTCAAGGCTAGCTCTTGAGTCACAGCTCCACTTCTGGCTTTTTGATGGTTCATTGGAGATGAGAGAGTCTGAATGGACTTTTCCTACCTGGGCTGCTTCAAACTGAGATCCTCAGATCTCAGCTGGGATTATAGGTGTGAGCACCAGTGCTCAGTGTCCGTGTGTAAGAGGTTGTCTGCTTACCTGTGTAAGAGGTTGTCTGCTTACCTGTCTTTTTTTTCTTCTTCTTCTTCTTTTTTCCCCCTCCAGTGTGTCCGGGCATGGATATTCGGAATAACCTCACCAGGTTGCATGAGTTGGAGAATTGCTCAGTCATCGAAGGCCATTTGCAGATTCTTCTGATGTTCAAAACGAGGCCTGAAGATTTCCGTTACCTCAGTTTCCCCAAACTCATCATGATCACTGATTACTTGCTGCTCTTCCGGGTGTATGGGCTGGAGAGTCTGAAAGATCTGTTTCCCAATCTCACGGTCATCCGGGGCTCCCGTCTCTTCTTCAATTATGCCCTGGTGATCTTTGAGATGGTTCATCTCAAGGAACTCGGCCTGTACAACCTGATGAACATCACCCGGGGCTCTGTCCGCATCGAGAAGAACAATGAGCTCTGTTATTTGGCCACCATCGACTGGTCCCGAATCCTGGACTCTGTGGAAGACAATTATATTGTCCTGAACAAGGATGACAAGGAAGAGTGTGGTGACATTTGTCCTGGCACTGGGAAGGGCAAAGCCAACTGCCCTGCCACCGTCATCAATGGGCATTTTGTTGAGCGATGCTGGACTCACAGCCATTGCCAGAAAGGTAAGATGAGAGACACAGGGTGTGTGTGTGTGTGTGTGTGCGCGTGCGTGCGTGCGTGCGTGCGCCATGATGGAAGGACTGAGGGACAGCACTGTTTGGGATCGCAAACTTTTCCTGTAAAGTTTTAGATAACTTTTTTTTTGGTGCTGGTGTTGGGGCTTGAACGCAGGGCCTGAGCACTGTCCCTGAGCTTTTGTGCTCAAGGCTAGTGCTTTACCCTTTGAGCTATGACTCCACGTCTGGCTTTCTGGCTGGTTCACTGGAGATAAGAGGCCCCAGGTTGGATTTGAACTGTGATCTTCAGATCTCATCCTCCTGAGTAGCTGGGATGACAGGCGTGAGCACTGGCGCCCATCCTGGATCATAACAGTTTTGAACTTCACAGGCCATGAAATCTCTACCCCTAAATGCAGTTGTCCCCTTTTACCTAGCCCCCTGCTAGAGACCAAGAATCACAGATTGTAGAAAACCCCAGCTGTCTTTCATTCTTTCCTCTGAGTTCATTCCTATGATCAAGTGGAATTGTTGATTTAGGCACAAAGGAACTACTTTTATGCTATATTATAATAAATGGCTTGCATTGCCACGTTTGAACTGGGGGACAATTTCTTTTCTTTTTTTTGCCAGTCCCGGGGCTTGAACTCAGGGTCTGGGCACTGTCCCTGAGCAGCAGCAGCTGCTGCTTCTCCTTTTCCTTCTCTTTCTTCTTTTGCTCAAGGTACTCTATCACTTGAGCCACAGCTCCACTTCTGACTTTCTCTGTTTATGTGGTACTGAAGAATCGAACCCAGGGCTTTATGCATGCTAGGCAAGCACTCTACCACTAAGCCATATTCCCAGCCCATGGGAGACCATTGCTTTGTAGCTATTATCTGTAGTCAACCTGATAACTGACAAGACACCTGAGGGACTCTCATGTTGCTCTTAATCAAGATAGCTTGAGCTTTCTTTGCACTATTCCGAAGAGCACACCCTCTTGAAATCCTGTGAATTGATTGCTCCTTTCTGGAATTTTCCATTTCATATTATCCCATCATAGTTGTGTGTGTGGGTAATACACAGGCCAGCAGCCCTAGGCTGGTGTTAATGTATAAGCGTGGCTCTGTGTGAATAAAACTTTATTTACAAAAACAAGTAGGGACCAGATTGTTTTCTGGAAGGGTGTCTTTTTTGTTTTTGTAAATGTTCCTTTGTTTTGCTGATTAAAGTGTGAGAATGGAAGAGTGTATGTGTGTGTGTGTATGTGTATGTATTATGTTTTGTCTGATTTATAAATGTCAAACTGTTCTTCATAAAAATGGGTAAAAAAGCTGGGCATTGGTGGCTCATGCCTATAATCCTAGCTACTCAGGAGGCTGAGATCTGAGGATCATGGTTCAGAGCCAGCAGCAGGCAGGAAACTCCATGAGACCCTTATCCCCAATAAATCACTCAGAAAAACGGAAGTGGTGCTGTGGCTCAAATGGTAGAGTGCACACCTTCAGCTGAAGAGCTGAGGGACAGGGCCCAGGCCCAGAGTTCAAGCCCCATGACCAACAACAACAACAAAAAACAAACCTAACAAAAAAAAGAAATGGGTAAAAAGCCAAAATGTCTGTCTCAGGCCACAATAAACCAGATGGCAATAGTTACTTCCTTCTGATCAATATTCAATAGGTCTGTTGTGTTTTTATTCCTTTATCAGGGGTTTTGATGATTTTTTTTGCTTCATTCGTTTAAATAGAGATTGCTCTGGGCAAAGCTTTATCTGGTGTTTATTCCTTTATGTCTCGCTTCCAGAAGTGAAATTTCTGGGTCAGAGGCTCTTGATCCACATTGCCAAGTGGCTTTCTGGAAATGGTGTCTCCACAGGGGCGCCTCCTCGCCTCGCATGGAGGGAAGGGTGTTGAATGGTGTTTGGGGAAAGAATCTTAATGTACTGCACGGGGGAGGAGCCTCTGGTGGTGTTTACATTTGCATATGCATGATGCTGATTTACATTTATCTGTTCCTCTGTTCATTGTCCTTTGCCTATGTATTTTTTTTTTTTTTTTTTTTGGGTCCGGTCGTGGGGCCTGAACTCTGGGCCTGGGCGCTGTCCCTCAGCTCTTCAGCTCAAGGCTAGCACTCTACCACTTGAGCTACAGTGCTACTTCTGGCTTTTTTCTTATGTGGTGCTGAGGAATCGAACCCAGGGCCTTGAGCATGCAAGGCAAGTGCTCTACCACTGAGCCACCTTCCCAGCCCCTGCCTATGTATCTTCCAGTTGCTGAAGAGGTTGTTTGTCCTCTGCCCATTTGGTTATTAGTGGATAAAATGCTCTGGGAGGGGCTTAGTGGTAGAGTGATTGCCTAGCATGTATAAAGCCCTGGGTTCCATTCCTCAGTACCACATACAGAGAAAAAGCCAAAAGTGGCGCTGTGGCTCAAGTGGTAGAGTGCTAGCCTTAAGCAAAAGAAGCTCAGTGACAGCGCCCAGGCCCTGAGTTCAAGCCCTTGGACTGACAAAGAAAAAAATGCTCTGAGATGTTCAGATAGAGAGAGAGAATAATGAAGGTGGTGCTGATAATGGTGATGATGATGGTGGTGGTGGTGATGGTGTTTTTTTTTTTTTTTGGTCGGTTGTGGGGTTTGAACTCTGCGCCTGGGTGCTGTCCCTCAGCTCTTCAGTTCAAGGCTAGCGCTCTACCACTTGAGCCACAGCTCCACTTCGGTTTTCTGATGGTTCCTTGGAGATAAGAGTATCACAGACTTTCCTGCCTGGGCTGGCTTTGAATCCTAATCCTCAGATCTCAGCCTCCTGGGTAGCAAGGATTACAGGCGTGAGCCACTAGTGCCTGGTTTAATGTTACCTTTTATGGCTAGAGTTATTAGCACATCTTCATTATTCAATGGGGTTTACTGTGTCATACATCTATTGCACTTTCACCAAATTCACCAAAATCTCTATTCCTCCATCCTCTCTCTCTCATCCCCACCTTAAAAAAAAAAGTTTGGTTATAATAAATTTTATTATACTCTTTTCATACGTGCATAGAAAGTGCTGTATAGCAGGATTTTCCAGCCTTTTTTCTGTACATTATACTTAGAAAGTGCCTTTCTAGCTGGGTGCCAGTAGCTCACACCTGTCATCCTAGCTATTCAGGAGGCTGAGATCTTGAGGATCATGATTTGAAGCCAGCCTGGGCAGGAAAGTCCATGAGACTTTTACCGAAAAGTTGGAAGTAGAGCTGTGGCTCAGGTGGTAGAGCACCAGCGTTGAGTGAAAAAGCTCAGGAACAGTGCCCAGGGTCCTGAGTTCAAGTTCCAGGAGTAGCGCGCGTGCGTGCGTGCGTGCGTGCGTGCGCGCGCGCGCGCACACACACACACACATAATGTTTATATAGTCATGTAATAAAGTATCTATCCTCCACACTTGGGCTGTGGCTCTCTCCATGTGTGTGGTTCAGCCATCTGCCCCCTCTCCCAAATCGTGGTGCTGGGGTCTCAGCACCATGAATGGTTAGGGTGTGTTTCCTACAGTGTAGGGCTTGGCTTTCCTGCACCAGCTCTGTGATCTGTTGCTCTCCATCCAGACAGCGCCCACATGGCTGACTGCCTGTGTGTGGGTCATCCACCTAGATGATGGGTGGTAAAGCTCCCGGGGTGAAAGTGATGCGTGATTACCCAGTGTAAATGGTTCTATTACAAAAGAAAGGGGGAGGGCTGGGAAGGTGGCTCAGTGGTAGAGTATCTGCTTAGCATGCACGAAGCCCTGGGTTCGATTCCTCAGTACCACATACACAGAAAAAGCTGGAAGTGGTGCTGTGGCTTAAGAGGCAGAGTGCTGGGACAGTGCCAGGACTGGGGGGGGGGGACAGGAGGAATTGGGTGCTGGTGGCTCACCCCTGTCATCATAGCTACTCAGGAGGCTGAGATCTGAGGATCCTGGTTCAAAGCCAGCCCTGGACAGAAAAGTCTGTGAGACTTTTATCTCCAATAAAAACTACTTAAAGAAAAAAAAAAAAGCTGAAAGTGGCGCTGTGGCTCAACCGGTAGAGAGTTAGCCTTGAATAAAAGCAGCTCAGGGACAGCACTCAAGTCCTGAATTCAAGTCTTAGGACTGGCAACAAAAAACAAAAAAACCCAGCAAAAAAACCCAAAAAACCACAAATCAAACCAAACCAAAACAACAGGCTAGGAGAAGAGCGACAGAAAAGAGGGTCTTTTCACCTCAGCCCCAAACAATTGGAAGCCTGGGTAGATTTTGGAGGGCTGTGTTGGAGCCCAGGGAAGATCCCTATGTGCTCTGGGTTAGGGGGACAGGGTTGGGGGGGGTTAATGATGATGTAGCCAATGCCAGGCGAGAGTTGGGAAAGGCAATGGGTAAGAGCCTGCAGCAGGAGGAGGAGGAAATGATCTTTCCTTGTGGAAAAATCTGGAGAATGTTAATAGATCCAGAACAAAGAGAAGCTAAACTATGAGCTGGAGGGAGGCTCAGGGCTGGGGTGGATGTCTTGGGGAAAGTGTAGATCACCCATGGGTTTGGAATTTTCTAGACTGGGGGAAAACTCCTGAGTTTGGTAAACAGCCAACAATCTGGCTGGGGGTGCTGGGCTAGATGGACTTGGAGGTGGGTTGGCATTTATAAATGAGGACGTACTGTGTGTAATTAGGCCTACTGTGTGTTTGTTAGGACCTTAGCGCTGGCTGCAAGGAAATACTGCTGTCCTATTTGGGACCAGAGAGGTTCCTTAACTTACTCAATGTCACACAGCTGATGAAACACAAAGCCACACAGCTGATGAAACACAAAGCCGGTGTTCTTGCCAGCTCTAGGCCAGACACGTATACAAAAAACAATTTTTTTTGGGGGAGGGGTGTCCGCTGAGTTGTTGAAACAGCAGAATGCTTGTAAAACTGGGTCACAGGGTAAAGAATGAGCAGTCTTTGCTGGGGTGTCTTTATGCATATCTATTCAGGAGGATTGCTTGAGGCTGGGAATTGGGACCCTGCTAGGAAATAGTGAGACCCTCATTTTTA